ATTGATGCGGATCAAGAAATTTATGACGACTACTGTTGATACAGAATGGGAATATTTTGGTCTGTGGAAGACAATGAGCAATCTGATTAATTGCCATCAAAAGGAGAAGGAAAACATTGCGAGTTTTCGTAAACGATTTGAAGAAAGGGCGAAGGCATTACAAGCTTTGCTTGTTGATGATTTTTTGGACAAATTTACTGAGAAGAGTCAGGAATATCGCAACATAAGAAGGAATCATGGGAAAGATTCATGGCCAACGGATTTCTGTATAATTCCGATAGAGCCAAGTATCAATCAAGAATTGATGGAATGACGGCGCAGTACACGTTGAAGCATCTGGATTTCAAACAACGTTGTACATTTCCAACTACTTTGGAAAATGCTGCTGATGTTTTGAATCAACACAAGCACGATAATAGGAAGAAGAATTTGAATGGAGGAAATTCGAATGGACAAGGAAAACAAAACAAGTCAAACAACAATCAAAATGACGGAGCTCAGTTTTCGCAACAACAAACTCGAGCGTGTTTTGTGTGCGGATCGAAAGATCATGTCGCACCTCAATGTGCGGACAAATTGAAGCCGCGGGAAAAATGGAAAAACCCGGACAAATATAGGGATTATTCGGACGCAAATGGTCGTGGTAATCGACAGAATATGCAACGTGATGATAATGCAACGCGTGATGATAATGAATCGGGAGATTCAAACACTCAATGGAACTATGGACATTCCAACAATGGATCCCATGGAGGACAGTTTATTCAACGAGGACATACTGACAATCATCCAAGACAACAAGGGATGATGTTATTTCAACACAACAATACTGGTATCCACTTGGACAGTGGATCTACTTTTCATTTGCGAACCAATGAAGATGACTTTAAAGAAGGAAGTCTACAAGGAATTGATGGAGGATTCCATTATTCCTCTAATGTGGAGGGAAGAAACCTTTATCAAGAAGGAATTGATAAGGTATTTGATTCTGTTTGTAAGCTTGACACACGAGCTAGTGACAACGTCAACAGCTTGTTGAATATGGTACAAGATGGATTTGATGTATTTATCAAAAATTGTCCAATTACGGAGGAAGATGTTAATATCTCTGAAAAGATATATGGACCGAGCGTTTCAACAATTAAGGGCAAACAAAAGCGACCAACACCAAAGGCGGTGGTTGATGATTGGATTGAAATGCCCAAGGAACTACTGAAATACAATTCGAACCTGGATTTATGCATTGACATTATGTTTATCAACAATGTCGCGTTTTTTGTCAGTATTGACAAAGCGATCAAATTCCGATTCAGTACTGAATTGAAAAATCGGACGAAAGATGCTATTTACAAGTCGATTGACGAAATTTTACGCATTTATAATCATGCGGAATTTTGAATCAAAACTATTTATTGCGACAACGAATTCAAACCGGTATTTGATGACGTGAAAGA